ATAAGTAAAGTCATCCTAAGGGCATTTCTAAGTGAAAATGGAAGCACACAAAAGAGAAGAAAATTGGAAAAGATCTGAAAAAAAAACCTTATATTTAACATTTTTCATCATTAAAGGTAAAGATGTGCTACTAGTGGAAGGAGAACCACACTAAAGACAATGAAAACAGGAAACTAGCAATATTAGGGACAATACAAGAACAGGAAGGAGATCTTAGAGGCCATACAGTCCAAATCTTTTCATTTTATAAATGAGCAAAGTTCTAAGCTTCTTGCCTAAGGTCATACAGGTATAAGTAATAGAGATAGGCTCTGATTTCAAGGCCTCTGACTCCAAAATCAGCATTCTTTCCAGTGTATGTTACAAAATCCCTGTAACAAATAAATCCAATCAAGCAAAACCAATTCTCACATTCTACAGGTCTGAAAATGTCTTCTTCCGAATCTTTACTTCATCACCTTTCTATAAAGAGCAGTCATTACACTGATATGCGTTTGCAAGTCTTTGAGCTATTTTTCTTTAAAATGTTGTCATTCTCTTATTTCTGCTCATTTTATTCTAAAGAGTGTATCCAATGTTCTTTGAAACCATCCAGTTCATTATTTCTTATGGTGTAAAAATATTATCATATCTGTAAACTTAATTTATCTGTTAAGGTGTGCTTGATAGTTATCCTTTAGTTTCTAGTTCTTTATTATAAAAAGAATAACTATAAATATATACATTTTTCTACATGAGTCCCTTTCTTCTTCTTTTTGATCATTTTAGGGTACAGGCCTAGTAGTAGTTGAGCTCAAAATGGCTACTGTAAATTAGATTGGGGGGCAGGGGGGAGGAAGACTTTAAAAGTTCATGTCACTCAAAAATAAAAGTTCTTTTGAGTCAATCTGTAAGAATATAAATCACTCCCTGACAAATGGTCAAAGGATATGAACAGGCAGTTTTCAGAAGAAGAAATCAAAGCTACCTATAATCATATGAAAAAATACTCTAAATAATTCTTGATTAGAGAAATTCAAATGAAAAAGACTCTGAGGTACCACTTCACACCTATTAGATTGACTAATATGACAAAAAAGGAAAATGATAAATGCTAGAAGGGATTTGGGAAAATTGGGACACTAATGCACTCTTGGTGGTGTTGTGAACTGATCCAACCATTCTGGAGAGCAATTTGAAACCATACCCAAAGAGGTATAAAACTGTATATACTTTGACCCAGCAATACCACTACTACACGTGTATCTCAAAGAGATCAAAGAAAAAGGAAAAGGACATATTTATAGCAGCTCTTTTTGTGGTGGCAAAGAACTAGAAATTGAGGGGATGTCCATCAATTGGGAAATGGCTGAACAAGTTGTGGGATATGATTGTGATGGAATACTATTATGCTATAAGAAATGACAAGCAGGTGGATTTCAGAAAAACCTGAAAAGGTTTACATTAACTGATGCAGAGTGATGTGAATAGAACCAGGAAAACATTTTACACAGTGACAGCAATACTGTAAGATGATTAACTATGAATGACCTAGCTATTCTCAGCAACACAATGATCCAAGACAACTCCAAAGATTTATGATGAAAAATGCTATCCACCTCCAGAGAAAAAACTGATAAAGTTTGAATGCAGATCAAAGCATACTGTTTTTCACTATTTTGGCATTTTTTTCCTTTTGGTCTGCTTTCTTTCACAATATAACTAATATGGAAAAATGTTTTAAATGACTATAAGTATACAACCTATATCAAACTGCTTACCACCTCAGGCAGGGGAGAAGGAAGGGAGGGAGGAAGAGAATCTAGAACTCAAAATTATAAAAAACAAATGTTAAAAATTGTTTTTGTGCACAACTGGGAAAAAATAAAATATTATTTAAAAAAAAAAGTTTTTGTGCCCTGCCTCCTTTTTGTCCTACACCCCAGGGACCTGGGTGGAGAGTGTTTCTTAGAAACTTAACAGGCCTGCACAATTCTCTGACATGCCCCAGTCTGAGTAGGTCAATTCAATTTCAATTACAAGTGACTTCTCTGCCACTTGTCACACTCAGGGACAAAAATTTCCAAAAATTTCATTCATTCAAACTGGCAAAATAAAGTTAAAAGCTTTGAAATACACTGTGCACAGGCTTGCAGAGAAAAGAGAATACTCATTCACTACTAAATTAACTGCAAATCCATTGAATCTTTTTGGATTTGGATAATATGGAAGAGGAGAGTAAGTCTGAAAAACAGTCATACTCTTTGAACCAAAGTTCCATTGCGAGGAACATACCCTAAAAATGCTATTTAGAAGAAAGAGAGAGAGAAAAAAAAAACAATCTTTATAAATTGCAGAAGCAGCAAACAACATCCAATAAGCAAAGAGTAACAACAAAAACTGTAGTACATTAATGTGATAGAATATCATATTGCAATCAAGAGCAAGAAATCTAAGTAAACAAAAATATGAAGAGACATTTATGAAATAATGCAAAACAAATACAGGAGAACCAGAAGGATGGAGAAAAGTGGATGAGAATGAAGTCAAAAACAGAATCCTAATGAAGACTTAAATGCTATAAATGAAAAAGTTTAGACTGTTTTATGAACTGAAATTAATTTAAATATAAGTTACTCAAGTTAAGTTCTTTTGTACTGTGCCCTGGTCAGATCCCATCTCGGGTATTACTGTTTTAGGCTCCACATTTTACAGAGGAAATTACTAAGCTGGAGAATGTCCACTGGATGGACAACCAGGATGGTCCAGTTCATACCATGACTGTCAGCTAAAGGAATTAGGTATGACTAACCAGAAGAAGAAAAGACTGGGGAGAAGAGAAATGAAATCTATCTGCAAGTATGTGAAGAGTCAAATAATGTGGAAGAGTAGAATTAGACTTGTTCTCCTTAGCCACAGAAGGTTTTACTGAAACTAATTAAGTTATGGGAAGGTCAAATTTAGGCTTCACATAAGCTCCTTTTTAAAACACTCTTAAGAATTGGATGTCATCAAAGGTGGAATGGATTGCCTTAAGAGGATTCCTATCATTGGAGGCCTTCCAGCAAAGGTTGTTGCCTATGTTGTAGAAGGGATTCTTCTTCAAGCATGGGTTGACAAGTTCCTAATATCTCTTAAAATTGTGATATTATCTTACCAGATGAAGGTTTCCAAGAATTTGGGACAAGTTATTTTACACCTCCCTGAAAGGATATCATTTTTCATTTCCCTGAAAGGGCTCACTGAAGGACTAAAGGACTATTGAGAATCCCAATCACAAGAAAAGAGATTTGGGATCACAGAAGATCAATTAGGCTTGACTCCTAAACTATGTAAACTCTGAAATGCCCCTCCAGCTCTAAAATTCCATACCATTATAAAATATATCTACAATAAAACAAGTAGCAGTTACAAATTACTTTCTTTCAAATAAATTCTATCTATTCTCTCTTCCCCCAATTGCTGATCTATAAATGCCTCCCTGGAACAAACTTTTAAAACACAGCTTTAGTCAATTAATTCTAAAATACATTTCAAAAAACATTTGGTAATTACTATAAACTTAATGGGAAAAGTGATGATTCTGTTAAAAAAAAAAAAACCAACCACATCCTTATGTTCGAGATTAATGCTTCTAAACTTCTAAAATATCCATTAAGTACTATCTGCTTTTTCTACCTTGGACTAATAAGAAACTTATATTTGATCTGATTGTATATTTCAAATAACAGAACTAAAATTTTGAATACTACATAGTTACCAAATTTACTTTGATATCAATAATTAAGATGCTAAATAAGAATTATACTATAAAATGTCAAACTGTTTTTGATTGAGTATACTAAATAATGTGATAGAAAAAAAGTGAAACTACATAAAACTGGTTACCAAACTGGCACAAAATAAGACCTCAGCACTTCAAAAGTTCTTTACCTTTTTTTTTTTTTTAAAAACACAATGCAAAAAAATTTGGTTCAAATCACTGTTGCTTTTCAAACTTTTCAAAGCATTCATTCACACACACACACACACACACACACACACACACACACACACACACACACACACACA